GGGTACATGGATAGCTCAATTAACATCAGCAGCAGCAAGGAAGCATAAACAGCCAGAGGCACACAGTGCTGTGACTGCATGGCTTTCACAGAAACAGGGCAGAAACTCCTGAAGGGATGAAAACAACTTTTCCTTTGTACAAGACAAGCAAGCCCTTGGCATGTTTGCACTTGTGGCTCTTCTGTTTTAGTCCCAGAATGGCTTTTTACTGAGAGCTGGCCTAAGATAACCTGCTCCTGCAGTGTTTACAGAGTCCTAAAATGTGTGTGCAGGCAGTCTGGTCCTGCCAGAGTCTGTGAAGCCTCTGCTTCCCCCTGCTTCTAGTTGAGACAGATTTAGTGAACCCAAATGCAGGTGTTGATGTACAAGAAGCCCATTCTCCATCCTGCTGAAGACAAACACTGAAAATACTCTCTGTCTTGAATATTATTGCACATTATACGTCACTTTTCATTCACTGGGTGTATATAACAAAATGGAACGAGAGTGATGCCTCTGTTTAAGAATGAGTGAAGCCAGTTCTGAGCTCACATGGATCATCAGTGTGTAAGTGAAATGTTTTATAGCAGCTTTAGAGGCAAAGAAGTCCATCAAATCTAGATTAGAAATCACCTTGCCAGCACCATGAATTTACAAGGAGCTGTAAGATACAGAGGTGAGAGAAGAGGTGAAACAAGGAAAACAAAACACGAAACTGAGAAAAAGAAAAAGAGAAAAATAGATTTATGGGTTGAACTGAGGGGCTCTTCCTCCTGCCTTTTTTTAAGCATGTCTGAAGCTCAGTTGTGGCTGTCACGATTTCTTGTCATCACACATATGTAATGTTCCCCTGGATTCCAACTTTTCAGGCTTTTCATTGGGGATGAGATGAATAATTTTAAGTTTGAGAATGTACAATGCAGAATTCTAGGAGCAATTTGATCAAGTTATTTACAATGGTTCATTTTATACCCCAAGGAGGACGTTGCTATTTTTCAGTCTTCTCATTAATTTTACATTATTTTACCTGACTGACAATACCAAGAAATTTAGGTAAAGTAAGCACCATATAATCTGCTTGAGGGTTATCCAAATCAAGAGCATTGCTATTTTCTGGTTGGTCCAAGAGTAGAAATGTGGTAAATTGGTAAATACCAAACCCAAAATATATTCTGTATCAACTGCATGCTTTGTTGATGATGATGACCTTATGTGCTCATTAACCTTGCCAAGAAAACATTATTGTCCATGATATTTTACACAATATCCCTTAAAGGTACTGTGATACAGAAAGTCTGCGACTTGGACCAAATATTAACCTATTTTGATTACTGAAATAGTCAGTTCCAGCAGTAATTGTGTAGTGTTTACTTTAGGGATTTAAAGCCATGCAATAGCATTCCATAAAGTTGCTGCTAATGATGTAGTATTGATTATGATGGCTGCTGGCCTTACTAAATTTTTACTATATAGACAACATGAAAGTTTAATTCTTTATTTAAGAAGTGTGTTGTATAATTTTTACTAGTAGGTAGTGATGATGATTTCCCCTTCCCTCCTTTTAACCATGAGAAAAAGCCCAGTAATCTTCTTTTCCCCAAAGACTCATTGAAGGGTTTGTCAAGAAAGAATCCATTGTAGTTCTGAGTTACTTTCTATCTTATCTGATATATCTTTTACCTGATGGATAGCAGCTTTTTATTATAGCCAAAAGATTGGCTTTCTCTTCCAAAGACCTATATGATGGCTCTGGCTGAGAAGACTTTTGGCTTTTTTCATCAGGTTCTAAAGGGATTAGAGCATAAGATGGCTATAGCATCTCATCTAAAATGTAGGATTACTCCTACCATTAGAAAGTTACTGTGTCACAACTTGGGAGTAGCTGCTCTTAAATGCATAGTTTGGAAAAAGAAAAGAAAAAAAAGATTGTGAGAAAAAAAAATTACCAAGCTGTATCTGTATCTCATTGAAGACATATATTTAAAATTTTTTGATAGGGTGGAGCTTAACTAGATGAGATTGTATGGATAGGATTATTATGTAAAGGGTCTAATTCTGCTATTATTAGGAAGAAATGGAAGATGGCAATTCTCAGGGATGTTTGAGCATTATTGTTCTTGCATACTGTACCAGAAAGTTTATACTTAAATTGGAAAAGACTGATGGACTTAGTTGTCTGCTAAATAAGCTGTTGAAACTTCACCACAGCTCTTGTGCAAGAGAGGAGCAGGCCTGGTGAAAATCAGAGCAGTTCCTGGATTCTCTGGATGGTGGCAATTGCCCCTTTGGAACACCTGCAGTGCCTGTTGTGTGCTGGGAGATCCTCAGCACAGGGGCAGCCTTCCCATACCTTCCTCATACCTCCTTCTTCCCAGCCCCAGCACAGCCCTACCTTCTCTGCTTTGTGCCTGGATCATCTACACTTTCATATTGAAGCTTGACATCCAGGTGCCTTCCACTGTTTCCAGCAGGACTTTGATTTGAGCCACATCTACTGTTCCTATCTATGGAGCTAAGATGGGCTTAGGGATTTATTTGCTTTGCCTTCATGGCTTTACCATGAGATGCTACTGTATTGTGTGTGCCATCTGCCTAATTGGCTCTTCCCTGAGACTTTTTCCTTCTTCCTTGTTTCAGGAACAAGCCAGGAAGTGGCGATCCTCTGCTGAGTCCGTGTGTCATCTCTTATGCAGTAACTGAGTAACAGCTGGCTACTGGCTCTGTAGAAACCAGAGGGTGCATAATTCAATTTTCCCATTCGTGTTCCAGTTTCTACTTGGGAATTCCCCTTGGGGATAGATTTGTCTGCTTGCTAACCGCACTCAACAAAAAGAACCTGAGAGACCCACATACTGCAAAAGGGTTCCAAGGAAGAATAGAAATCTTTGCTTGTGAAGGGTCACCAGAAAAGTGGCAGTAGGGTCACAGAATTAGCCTGCTCTAGGGAAGAAAACATTCTTGCCTTCCATGTTTGGTTTTGTGCTGACAAGCTTAAAAATCTCTAACTTTGCATATTTGACTTTATGAAAACTGAGAAATGAGCTTGGCTCATTTTTTTTACCAGGCAAATTGTGTGTGACCTCAGCACTTTTCCTTTTCCTGTGTTGTTGCAGAGGCAAAGTAGTAGGCAGCAGTGTACTTTTCCCTGATGCAGCTAGTGAGAAAGGACATATATCTCAAGGTGAGTTACAGTATTCCTCACCTGACTGCAAATTCCGAGATTAGTGAAGTAACAAAATTGATCTAAATGTCATGTTATCCCTTGGTTTAATGAGAAATAATTAAGATCTTCACTGACATTATTAAAGGATGTGAGCTTGCTGTCTGGAGCATAAGAAGCTTCTTTTTAATCTCCAGTAAAAATGGACAGCCTTTCTCTGTTAATAAGTATTGCCTACAGCGTGTAATTCCATGATCATAATGACTGTGCTTCTCCTTGTTCATCCCATTGGCAAATGACAGAGCCTGGGGTGATTTACACTGGAGGACTTGAGCTGAGGCAGATGAGCAGGCGTGGGTGGAATTCAGGGATGTGTTTTACTTGGTCGCTGCACTGATGCTTCAATTCCCAGGATGAACTGCACTGGAGGAGGAGTGAAGCTGCTCAAGAGCAGCTGCTTTGCTGCTCTTGTGCTGTTTCAGCCAGGAGAGGGGATGCTGGGGAAGTGGAGAGGGAGATCCATGGGTGTTGGAGCACTGCAGAGGGGTGCAGGGTGGCTGTTGGTCATGGAATTTGGGCTGGGTTCTGTCCATCACATCACCTCCTGGGAATTGTAGCCTAGTTGGGGAGTTCAGCACAGGATCTAGAAATCCAGGAATGTGCAATCCACCCTGGTGACTCCACAGTGTGTCCTGTCTCTGCTCACAGGAACAGGTGACGGGACATAGGACACAAGTGGCTTGATGTAGGCCTCCTGCTTCTTCACTAGCAGCTGTCAGCTAGGGGACTGAGCAGAGACATTCAGTGCTCAAATGCAAGAGCCCTTCATCACTTTTAGTGCTCTCCATTTGGCTGCCACAGCGTCACAATGAGCCCTTCGCAGAGGGAATGATTTAGCTTCGGGAAATGGAGATTTATTTCAAAAAGTCCTTTACTGTAATATCTTCCTTCTCTCTGACTGCACCGTGGAGGCATCTGATTCTTATTATGCAGGAAGTAGCTGAGGATGTCTGATACAATTCTTTTAAAATCAAAACATTAAAATTACCATCCAATGATTTTCACATTTTCCAGGCATCCCTCCTGTCAGCATTAATTGCCCCCCTGCTGTTCCTGTTCCAAAGCTATTTGCTCTTTCTGTATGCAGCCCTTGTTCACTGCTGCACTAAACCTTTACTGCTTTGCAGTAAAAAAAGCTTCCACTTATGCAAATGGCATTGAAATGAGTTTGAGAAAGTGCTAAACAGTCACATTTATTGATTGCAACTGTTGGGGTTTAGTTTGTTATTTTACAGTTAATTTTGTAGAGGTAAAGGACTTTACAAATTCCCTTCTGGTGTCAGTGGAGTAAAACAGCACTCCCATGACAGTGTGTGGAAAGTGTGGTAGGGCCACCAAGCCAAAGAGATAAGAGGGTCACATTCATCTAACGTCACAGTGTCCCTTTCCCGTGTGGCAGATCTCTCTCCCATCTTGAAATCTCACTGTACTTAGCAATTCTCCTATTTCAATTACTGTGTCTTTGGATGGCAGTTAAGTTTCATGCCTCCTTATTTCCTCTTCCTCTCTGGTTCTGACACATTATTATTCTTACCAGTGACTGCATGAGGCCTCCAAATTCCCATAGTCCCCAGAAGTAATTACAGACACATTACTGAGCAATCCCCACTGGTAGGCTGGGTCAAGTGCTTTATTTTTATCCAGGGCAGCTACCAAGGAATGTTGTTGACTTTTGCTTCATGCAGCTACTTGCTGCATGAAAAGACAGGAGTACTTCTGTCACCTGAGCATTTCAGCTGGGGGTGGGTCGTCTCCAACCCTGGAGTACCCTGGTACCCAAGCAGGGTTGCTAGTGGTCAATATGGAAGGTACAAGGTCCTTGTGAAGATAATGGATAAAGATAGAAAAAGCATGAGAAGTAAATGAGCACAGCTGGATTGTATCTTTGTCTGACACAGGGTTTGATGACCTACAAGCATGTGCTGATCCTGGGGCTCCTGAACATGGCTACAAGATGCCCAGTGCAGGTGTTTTCTTTGAAAGTGTGGTGGTCCGGTTCCATTGCCAAGAAGGATATAGGCTCAATGGTACTTCCAAAAAACTTTGTGTGAGACACTTTAATGGCTCCCTGAGCTGGAAACCCAGTGATAAACCTGTGTGCCTACAAGAAGGTAAGTTAGTTTTCTTCAAGCTGTTCGCCACATCAGTTCTTCTCACTTGTCCATGTACCATGTCTGTCTATCTCTGGACAAAACACAACAGGCTGGAGTCCATTTCACTGTGTCTTGTTGGATACACACTTTAATTTTCCATCCATAATCCTCCTTTGTCAGTTAAATTTGTACCACGAGAAGCTGTGTATATTGAAAGGAACATAAAGAAATGTGAAAATAGAATTTAATCTCCCTTTTTAACTAGCTACAAATAGATGCAGAGAGGAAAAACAACCTCCATTGTAAATTCACTGTAACTATTTATTAAAGCTGCCCACTTAATATTCCTTTCTGCAATATTTTACTAGAAAAATACAATCAATTTCCAATGCTACTGCTCCTGCTAATTAGGAATTTTAAATAATAGTATTTGGTGATGTATGCATGAGTCAAGTAGCAAAATCGAATACACAGAGACTGCAAAAGTTTAAAGCCAGGGTAGAAGTTTACTCTGAGGTAATTCAGACAATTATGGCATAACCAATTTATTTTTATTGTATATTTGAAATTGTATTTGGTTTTAAATACTTAGGATGTTTCATTGCTTTCTTCTTCTAGGTCTTAGAGGCAGGATTGATTTGAATTTTATAAATGTAAATTTTGGCCAAAGTACACCCAAGCAGCGCAAATTATTTATTTCACCAAGTATATTAAAGATATAACCTGTCCTTGTTGTTGATTTATTTTTGGTCAACAGAGCTATTAAAGTCAACAGACATGAAAAGTGTTGGTTAAATAAAGTGTTTACATTTTAGTGTTGTGACTTCTCCACTGAAGACATTGGTCATTGCCTCATTGTCTTCATGTTGGAGCAAGATAAATTCTACTTCAGATTACCTTTCACCATTTAAAATAAATACGTGGACTTTATTCGGAGGTAGTTGAAGATTTATGTGGCTCACAAACAACTTACTGCAAAGGATCATGCATCACTTAGCCTTTATAAAATCTGCAGGTACTTGTTTGTGATCCTGGGGGGTAGGTGTGAGAATCCTGTGCCAGGACAGGGATGTGACATGACAGGGACAAGCACAGCCTGGGAAGACCACACTCAGGAGGTGCATGTGAAGGGAACAACCCTAAACAGTGGCCAGTGTGAAAGTGATGCATGAGATAATGGAGAGAGTAGCCAGAGGCAGCTGGTAAGGAGTGCATGGGCTTTCAGGCAGCTGGCCTGTTGGCAGGAGAAATTTTGGTTAAATATGTTCTCCTGGACAAGTCTGAGGCCATGGGCTACAGAGCCATGAGGGACGCAGTTGTGAGCTGTCTCATCAGGTGACAGCTGATGTCTAGAAATAAAGGCAAAGGGGTGCCAACAGCACCTCATCATATGGCCACATGGGTCAGCTTCAAAGAAATAACCTGATGCCTTTAAAAATAACTACGTATGAAAATCGTGCCCTTTTCTGTGACAGCCACTTTTCATAAATGACCTTGTCTCTCATCTCATGGTTATTTAAGAAAAAATACATATAGCGTGACAGCAGCCTATGTCTAAATTGGCTATTGGAACTACCAGAAAAAGCTTTAATGCTTGGAAATTCTGTTTCCTTAAGCACAGCAGGAAGCTAGGAAGGTTGATGTGCATCTTTGAAATGTTGCCTGTATCATCCACTGCAGTTGTTAAAACAAGCATTAATGTTCTTTATTAAATATTCAAACCTCTTCCCTCCATCCCAGTGGAAATCTGTGGAGGAAGTTTCTGATCACAATGCCGTCAGCAACAGAACTGCCACTAATGTCAGTGTGATCAACACTCGAACCAGGTGTTTTCAAAAAAGAAAGAAATTGGAAGATGAGAATATGATGGATGATGTGGCAACAGTTGCTTTAGAGATAATAATTACTTTCCAGCACAGAACACTTAAAAAAGATTGCTAGCCAATGCTCTGATCAAGCAAAGCACTTAAGCTGGAGCATAACTGTAATTATGTGATTAGTCTTGTAAAAGTTCTTTGCTCAAAATAGGCAGATGCAAAAATGCTTCTTATTACTTGGACCAAAGATTAGGACCCTGATTTAGGATTTAGTGAATCAAGTGCTTAAGTACTTCCCTGATTAACATTATTATAATACCTCAGGTATTAGATTACAGCATTAATTCTTCTTTCCATTGCACAATAGCAGCACTGATTCAGAAGAAATACTAAGCAAAGGCTCAGTGGCAGTCCATGAGGCCTAGGCACTGGCTTAAGTGATTTTTAGACTGATCCTTTTGCACACTGGGAGCAGAATATTGAGAGAGGGCCATGGTAGAGAGGCGGACAGTGTAGGAACATGGCACATCTGGATATGAGTTAAGAGAGAATTACAACAGGGTTTGTGATTCTCAGCTGTCTAATGACATACATAAAAGTTTTCATTGCAGAAGTTCTTTAATGATATATAGAAAGAAATTTGAAATTTCTAGCAACTGCTGGAGAAGGGAGAAGTTGATGTTTTCCCATGCATCGTTACCTATCACAAGGTGAAATAAACTTTATGCTGCACTTACCATTTATGGCAGGGGCTGGCTGCTCCATGGGCTATGGTATGCTCTACACGCCTCTCATCCCAGCATATTTAAATGTTAGTCAAGCTCAGTGCCAGCTGAGCTTGAACACTGAAAACACTGTACTTTGGAGTTCATTTACAGGAGTTTCGATTCAGAGAAAGATAATTTTATGTCTATATGTTATGTACATTTAATTGTTGTTATGTGTTTACTAGCACAATTTCTAATCACAAATGGATTGCTATTTACCAAAGGAAGCAAAGCAACCTGTTTCAGAATGTAATTGATTTTAGATCTAATATGTTTGCCTAGAGCTCTTCACCCAATTGATTTGATTTTATTTTATATCTGTCATGTCTTGTTAAGAGGCGGGAGGTTCTAAGTGTGAGGACGAGAATGAAGTTGCATGACTTGGTGCCCAATAAATGCCCTGTCAAAAATCTGTATGCTTAGAGTTACGTTCTTATGTTGATCTACAGCATGGTGTGACTGTACCTTTCATCAGCTCTAATACAGTTATGCACATAAATACCAAACCTCTGAGGTAGGAATTTTGTATTTACTGTTTAAGAGCAGTATGTCATGTTGTTCACACTTTAATCTAATTTTCTCCCACTGTGATAATGTGGCTGCTGAGGCTGTTGCCCTACTTGGAACAAATGCTAGCTCTTTCCTGTGAGATTGAATCTAAATTTACAGTCTGCATGAAGATGGCAACAAAGCAAAGAGCTGTGTCCTCCTCTCCCTGTGCTTCTGCAGGCAAACACCTTGGAGATGTTCTCAGTGCCTCATTCTCCCACTGACATGGATGATAAACCTGTATTGAAAGTAGAAGACTAGTACATGGTTTGGCTACAGCTTTCCTGTAGGACATTTAGCCCTCCATTTGCTTTGCCTTTGTCCCTGAGTCTATGAGATGACGGAAGTATTTTTATTTTTCCATCTCTTATCTGTCTTGCCCAGTGTTTGCTGATTCTTAACCCTGATTATGAGCACTCTGTGACATTTGTAACCAGGCCACAGCTCAATGGCCACAGATCTTAGGTGAAATCTCTCTGCATTGTTGAAATACCAGCAAAGACAATAGAAAAAATGGTTATTTAATATGCACTAAAACACTGTGTTTGCCATCCACAGAACAATCCTAATAACACAGTACTATCGATTTAACATTAGTAAAAAAAACAAGGGACAATATTGCTCTTAAATGCTTACTTTGAAGAGAACAGAATGTAGATGAGCTGTCCCTGCATCAAACCAATTCTTCATGATATTCCTTTCATCCTTCCTCCTGTTTCTTTCTGTTCCAGCCTGACAGTGGTGTGACTTGATGTAGTCAAGGCTAATTCAGAAATTTGTCAACAGTAAGATACACAGGAGCACCAGACCTCTGCATTTGAATTTACATACAGGTAGCAAACAAAACAGTGCCAGAGCAGGGATTGGGCAGTTCTTCAATTGTACACACTCTTACAGTGTTGTAAAGGTCCTTGATGTGGTTTGGACCAGCATCCATTAGGGCAGTATTCCCAAGTAAATCCTACAAGCATCTTCTTGGGTTAGCATGGACCAGGGATAATTTTTGGATGGTAAGGGCTCACCTGCAATAGATACAAGCCATCCCAGGCCAGCTGGTACCCATGGATGGTGTGGCTATCTCCATGCTGTCTAGGTCACACCTTCCTTCTCAGTTGCTATTGTGGTCCAAGTGCTCTTGGGAGGAGGTAGGGTGATCTTTCTTTCCCATGGGGTGGAAGGAACAGTTCTGAGAGGTTCTGCATGGTTTGCACCTGAGCAAAACACTCTAACTATATTGTTTAACAAATTTTATTCTTCAGACCAATCTTCTGTGATGGGGGACACACTTGGTTTGCTAAAGCCAAGAGTTCCTAACGTACAAATCTTCATGAAATTTAGGGCAAGGTGAGCTCTTGTGCCTGTCAGGCTGTTGAGCCTGCTGGCTCTACCCCACCTCTTTCTGCCCCTGCAAGATAAGAAATCTGTCCTTTTGTCTGGCCCATTTTAATACTCACACAGTAGATTTAAGCAGATGATGTAAAACTGCCAGAAAGGAGTGTAAGTCATAGCCTTTGCTGCTCGATGCTGGTTAAAGACTGTATATTCCCTTAAATGGTTTAGCAGCTTCCACAGATTTGCTGAGAAGGACTTAGAATAAAGTAGTTTATTTTCAGGACAGGACATTTTAAAATTCAGTCACTTCCTTCTAGCTTTTCCAAGCAGAATTTATGCCAGCTAATCCAGTTGTTTGTGGAGAGGTGGCTACTGCAGTTTATGCCTAAGTGCTAAATATGAATTCAGCCAGTGGGAAAACATTTGCTTGCAAGGCATCAGGAAAAAGAGCTGTAATATTGTGGTCTATTGGTCTGGTGTTTAGCTGGGGCTTGTAATAAGCCTGTTATCAAAGTCAGCCAGGATGTGGCAGGTGGAGGACAGTGCAGTGAGCAACTTATCTCCGTTCTCTGCCAACATCTACCCTATTAAAGTGATCTCATCTACAGCTGTTCCTTGGAATAATAGGAATGGAGTTGCTGTGATAGATTATTGTTACAGAATCCATTTCCCCCACTTTGAAAGGGAAATCTCATGTTTTACTGTGCTGTGTGTACACACACCATCTTTATTTGTATAGCAACAGAAAGACATTTATTTAATGTCTTAATGTCAGAAAGAGAGGGAGCTGTTCACTGACGTTATCTTCTGGCATCCATCTCCAGTCTCCTACTGCGTGGTTGCCAAGCAGGTACTCCATCTATTTCATCCCATCCTTGTGGAGTGCCCAGGACAGCCTCTTCATGACAGCATTTATGGCTTAGCACAAGGCATTTCTTCTGAGGCATCCTCTGCTGTCTTCTCTGCTGATTAACTTTATAGTGAGAGAGAAAACGGTTCCATCTTTGAAAGTAATGTGTGTACCCTCGCCAGTGTATTTTACAACCTCCAGTTAGGGCATGGATCCTCCCAGACTTGTGCATTTATAAATAAATAAATTCCAAGAAAACTTCTTGCTGCACTTTCTCACCCTGCCTGGCAGGCTGCCAGCCCTTCCTGCTACCAGCAGCAGGAGGCACCTACAGCAGCTTCCAAGAAGCTAAAAAGTAATAAGAGAAATGGAAGAATTGTTAACTAATAATGTGCTCAGGCCCCATACAAAAAAACCAGCTAAGTACAATGTATTTTAGAAACATCCCTGTGATGGGAAGGTACAAAGTATTTTTGTACTTTGGGGGAGGAACACTGTCCTCCTTCAGGTTAGTAAAATTTAGTGATGGAATCTCAGTTTGCCTAACTAAATAAAAACATTATGAAATACATTTGCTCTTAGTAGTTTGTGAGTCCTCTGCTAAATGACAGTTTATCTTCCTTCTTCTTGTGCTTTGAAACAAACAAGCTGTCACTATCACTTTGCTTAGTGCATACTAACAATTAGGTGCTAAATACAAATTTAGCTTTGCCTCTTCCTCTTTAGCAAGAATTACCCATGAAAATGGCAGAAACTTTCTCTTCTATGCAAGTCTCAAGGGATTTTTTTCCTTAATAAATACAGTATTCCTAAATTATTATAATTGTCTCTCATTAGAGGTGTTGGGGGTATAAAACAGAGTAACACAGGCTTATAATATTTTTCTGTCTTTCTTGTGTTTGAAATACTTCTTGGGTTTTGATGCCTGGAAACTTTTATTACCATCTCTGTCATGGATTGACTGCTGGCAGACAAACAAAAATTTTCTCCCAATATTTAATCTTTCCCTGTCTTCTGTTTCATCTCATTTCATCTCACTTTGCCTTTGTGATGAGGATGAACTTTGAGTCACCCAGATTATTCCCTCAGACCCTCATGGCTTTTTTCTCAATTATTCAGTATTACTAGGGGATTTTCCCCCTGCTTCCTCTTTCCACTTTGTACATTTTTAAGTGTTCTGATATTCATTCTGTATTTTGGTGTCTTTGGCACTAGTACCTAGAGTGAAATCTGTGACTGTCTGATGCATGTGTCACAGACAGGCACTAGGGCCCATACCTGTATATCGCTTCAGGTTTGCAGTCCCTTCTTGAGAGTATTTTACAAGCACTTGAGATGCTGCTTAGGACCCTAAAAATCATGTCCTCTAAAGCCATATGAATGCAGCCACACAAAACTATCTGGTTTAAAACATAATCAAGGAAATTAAAGTGAAGGCGTTCTCATAATAAACTCTGGAATGGAGCTGGATAAACCCTTGTAAATGTACCTGATTTTCATCTGTCTGCTAAAACTGCAGCTTTTCTGTGTTCCTCATGCCATATCTGTATTTTATCTTTTCTTTCATCCTGTCCTTAGTGCTGTCAGAGTCTGCCTTTGCATGGAACCTTGGGATAGTCAGACTTTGGGGTGTAATTGCACACATGATGAATGGAGGGCCAAAATCAACCACAGCCTTCCTAAAGGCTCCTAATTTTGTTAGTTTTTAAAAGGCTGGGGGAACGATCCATTATTGTAGCACCTCAGCTTCTCCTACCGTGCTATAGACTTGGTAAAATGATGGTTCACTAGGAAAAAGGCCCTTTTACTGAAATGCATGTATTTTCCAAACAGTTTAAGCGGAGCACTTATATTAAATGCTTACTTCTTTTTAAGAGCTTGATTACTAAACAGTTAGCTATGTTTTTTTAATTAAGTTACTGTTTCTTTTTCTCATGAAGTCACAGATTGCCTTGTTCCACATGTTGAAGATGCAGAGGTTCATAACAAGACATACAGGACTGGCGATAAGTTAATAATCAGCTGTCATGAAGGATTCCAGATCCGTTACCCTGACTTAGACAACATGGTTTCCATATGCCAAGATGATGGAACATGGGATAATCTACCCATATGTCAAGGTTTAGTACTCCAGCACGTCCCGTTTTATAGCTCATACATCTTGTCATAGTTTGCTAATATTTTTTCCTACAGTTGTAAGAATGTAAGTGATCTGATAAGCTCCACAGTGCAGTGTTTGAGTAGTGCTGCTGCTAAGATTTTTTGATTTCTCTTCCCCTTTGCTCTCTGCAGGAAAGATGTCACTTCCTGAACATTCCCATGCTTATAATACTACTTTAAATACTGCTTTTTTGTTTGCAAATCTCAAATCTGACACAGATACACTGCATCAAAAAGTAAAAAACAATCAAGATAATCTGTCAGAATTTCTGATGGGTGTCTTGCATTTTTTCACCAATTAATTTGTGGAAATATTTAAGCTTCTAACTGCACTTTATGTTCCTTTACCTCGTGTAGAAGGCAAGAGTAGAGGAGAGAAACTGGAACCTGTTCTCCTGTCAGAGTTTTCAGCAGAGCTGTTGATTAGATTCACAGTCCATTAAACCTTTATGTATTGACTGAAAATTCAGGGTGTGCACAGGGATGATTTTGGCCAGAAAAGCCATTAGCCGTAGATCTAGAAATATCAACAGCATGGGATCCCAGCTCAACTTAGACTGTGAGAAATGGCTGGGGGTAAGCCAGCTTTAGTGAATGGAAATTCAGTAACTCTGGGCTCCCTTTCCCTTCATATTTCTAATAAGCATATCTGAGTACCACTGACTCTGTTTTAACCAAGTCACATCTTGGTAACAAGCTTGGCCCACTGAACAGCAGCAAGAGATTTTAACTGAGGAGCAGACTGGGTTAGTCCCAACTTTCCTCAAAGCCATCTGTCCTCTCATAGAGATATCACTTCTCTGTAGGCACTTAATTACACTGTCACACCAATTTGCAGAGTCAGGGCAGGCAGGCAGAGGAGCTGGGACACTTCTCAGGAGCAGGAGCACATCAGACTGTCGCCCAAGATCCTGCCCTCCACTGGGGCAGAAACTTAGACATATTACCAGGCTAGCTCAGCATTGTAGATCCACACAGGGGAGATTTTGCAAAACCATAGCAAAGCAGGTGCCAGTTTTGGGGTGTCTTATCAGCAATAGCATCACGTGTGGCAGTATGAAGTGTACAGCCCCTTTCTGTAGGGGTGCACCTCACATCTAACTTAGGTCGATTAAAAATTTTGCAGCAGGGGGAGATGAATGCTTAAAAGATTGATTTGCAGATGCTGTATTTTCCAAAGATCCAGGGGCAAACTTTTTGACAGGTAATATTTACTGAGTTAGTAGCAGTACCCCAAATACCCCTTGGCTTGTTACTTCTGTTGCTGTGTTTATACTGTGAAACACAATCAATTACTCCTACTTAATAGTCAATATTATCTTCTTTTCAAAATATAAGCAGTGCTAATAAAAGTTAAGAAATCAATTTCACAAGACCCATGTGCTGTGATTACCAGGTAGGCAGAGAATAGGCAATTCAGATTCAAGACCCTGCCATATTTTGCCAAATTCCATAAAGTTACTGCAGAATTCCAGAATTTTCTTTTTGACATGTCAGGCACTGGTAAGATCAAAATCACTTGTCTTCTTGCTCTAGGTAGGCTGTTAGTTACATTTCTATGGCCCTTTCATTACAGAAGGCAGGGGAGTCTTATGACACTAAGATGCCTTTTTTCCCTGCCACAGCAGTGGGGAAGGATTGTGGACTATATAAGAATCTAACCTCTATTTTTGCCATGAGATAATAATATTAATTACTGGTCTGGAATTATGTTACTTAGCAAAATAATGTCAAAATTTAGTTTTTCAAGCAGTGTTTGGAGACCTAGGAATTTTCACAAATGCTTGGCTGTCATACAAATTCAAATAAATCTCTGTCCTGCATGACCAGGAACATAAAAAGCATTAAAATTCTGAGCAAGCAGGACCAAATTTTCCCTGATACAGCTCAGAGAAGAGTAAGCTTGGTCTTGCTTGGGCAGTCTGTGCTCTTTCTGTCCCACTGGGGGCTGCTTATGTCGTCCTGCTCGATGTGCTGCTCAGTTTGCAGGAAGTAGTGTGGTGTGTGTGGGGCATTCTTGATCAGGGTAGAAGCAGCAGCCAGCAGATAGGATGCCTGAAGCTTTATTTGAGAGGGACATGACCAGCTGCTTCAACAGCTATTGAAATCGTTGCTCTGGTGGTACCGCATGCTGCAAAAAGCTTTCAAGCTTTTTCTTTTATTTTCTTTTGGGTTTGTTCCTCTCCCTCAAAAGACTGTTGCAAGGAAATGGCTGCTTGAAATGCTGCTTAGGCTTTTTGTTTTAAATGCCAGTACCTTACAAGCAGTTCTCAGACTGATTTTTGTTTCCCCCCTCTAGCTTAAAATTATGGGAGTCCTATGAACATCCTTCACAAATTCCTAGTAGTGGCGACAGACTCATTTATGGACAGCCATAATGCATCTTCCATTAGTCACATAATTCTAAAATACTAATTGTCATTCCATGATTACTAGTTATCTTTTCTCCACATTATTGCAAATTAAAAAATTAAACAGTATCAAGCATTACCCAGAGGGTCATTTCTAGGGTCATGAGGAATGACATGTTATAAAGACATGCCATCTGTTAAATTCACTGCTCTTTGTTGCCCCAAATTTTGGTTGGTGACCATTTAACTGTCACTGCTCAGTACCAGCCATGATACAAATCCCTCAGGAGTAATTCCAGAAGTAGCACTGGAACATAGTCTCTGATTCTGACTACATTTACAATTTATGATGATAACAGATACCTTAAATTTTTGATAACCTAGTCTAAGACCTTGCTCAATGTTTATCATGGGACTGCTACTAGGAAGTCATGTCCCTTTAGACTTTCTCAGACTAGAATTTCAAAGTCATGAATTCTGCCTGCAAATCTTTTACAGTTGCGTACACTTTGTCACAGAAGCGGTTTCAATATGTAAGAGGGTTTACATACCTGTCATTTTTTAGGAGGAGGAATAAAACTCACCATTTATATAAATGAAAATCTTTATTTATTAAAGATTCTACCTCAAAAAGAGGTATCTGCTGAAATGGTAAATGTTTGTTAAACAAAATACTGCCAGTTTTGGAAAACCTTTCCTGGATTTGTTGGGAGTGAAGCCCACGCTAGCAAAGCATGTGGGCTAAACAACAAAAGAGTTTGAAACAGGATAATGAGGCAGATCTGTCTGAGGGAGATCATGCAGACATGCCATTCATAGTGGAGAGGATGAAAAATCACACTCCTCAATTTAAAAACAGTAACTGAGATGTGTGAAGATGACTGAGATAAGCACTTGATAATAAAAGAAACCTCCCTCTTCTTAATTTGCAGGTTGCCTGAGGCCATTGGTTCTTCCTCATAGTTACATTAACGTTTCTGAGTTCGAGGCCTCCTTCCCCATAGGAACAGTGGTGTATTATCAGTGCTTTCCTGGATATAAACTAGAAGGGGCAGAGATCCTTGAGTGCATGTATAACCTTATCTGGTCAGATAGCCCACCTAAGTGCCTTGATGTGGAAGGTAAATGCCTTACTGTTTGTTTCTCTTTCTGGTTTGCAAGACCTGCATGCTCTCTGTGGTTTTAACTGTAGCCACCGTTCCATTCTCAGTGATATTCCCACTGGCTGTGCAGAGCCTGTGTGGGTTCTGATGTGTTCCTGCTGTGCTTCACTGCACCCTCAGCTCGTGGTGTTCCCAAGTAGTGTTTGCTCTCACAGTGTCCCAGTGCAAGAGGGAAAGCTCCTAATGATTGCTTTGCCTTTAAAATGAAAACTCTCTGCTGCCTTTCTGATTAAAACACTGAGGAAGTTACATAACTCACCTTCCTGTGCAGGTGGTCAAAGCTCCTACACATATGGATAGATTTCCATGATCAGCTAAAAAATACCCACAGAAACCCTTGGTTTGGGCTGTGCTAGCTGCAGTCATTACTCAGCGCCACACGGTGCTGCACACTTGGGTATTCACTGTCTCCCCTACTTAAAGAAGGATTGACAACTGAAAAACAACTGAGCTAGTTTATTGATGAGGAGCATAAAAACCATTCATTGTGAAGCAGCTAGATCCTACCGAGCCAAAAGGCTCTGTGACTAGAGTTGGGATGGAGGGTGTTGTAGTGTGTTTATCTTTGCAACCCAGACATTTAAAACAGCGATACTGGATGGATTGTTCCATACATTGCCAAAACTGCATAAACTACCCTCCTCCATCTTCACATCGTGAATGAAACATCCTAGGAAGTCTTGAGAGTCCAGATACATCCTCTGCATTTCATTCCCTTAAAAAACCCACATTTTTGTTCTATTTCAAGCCTGTAAGGAAGCTCTCTATATGTAGAAATTAGCTAAAAGCAATTATAGGAATTCATACGTGATGCTTATGTCACTGAACTAAATGCTAAGCATTCTGGAAGTGCAAAAATTTGCCAAAAGCATCAACAAAGTGACAAACTGCACAAAAATAATTTAATTGTCCTTATTTTTAGCTGACAATTCAAGTTCCAAAATTCAAAAATGCCTTTACAATTTTGGAATGACAAAACAAGATGATTTTTTTTTTTTGTTTATTTAGCTTGCCATGAAAGATTAATCCTCAATCAGCTGTATGTAAGCCATTTTTGGAAGGTTTGTTTGTTGTTGTTTATAGCATGGAAAACACATTAAAAAATCAGAAGGGCCCTGTTAGGCTTAATCCAAACAATATAACTGATTTGAGAAAAATTACTGTTCTTCAGTTAGAAAGATAAGAGCATGAAACTCAAGTATGTGAAGCAGGAAAAATTGTGTCTTATTGTCACTTAACACAGGTGAGCATCCCAGCTGCTATCAAAATACCCAAGAAATCTCATGTGCTCATTGTTTCTTGCTTGTATGATGAAATCATAGAGAGGTCTTTTTCTTGATAATTTAAAACATGAGGCAGGAACTCCTGCCCTGACAGTTCTATATTTTAAGTTACGTGTCAAAAATTATAATCCCCTCTCCGCTACAATGATCTGTGATGGAGGGATCGGTGTGTGCCAAGGTCATTGGGGAGGCCTCCTGAGTTCTGATTTCGATTCAGCCTCCCTTGGAATCACTTTCTTACTGCACTCTTTAAATGCCAAAACTTGCCATGGTGGTTTCATGTGGGCATCCCATCAGTGCATTCATTCAGTGAACCACAGGAGACCAAATCGGGAGCAAAACACTTGCAAGAGCTGGTTCTGCTCAGCTTTGGGGGAGAAGAGAGCTTCCAGCAGCACTGAAAGGTCACTCCTGACAGCTCCCCTTGTGAACTCTGCTGTAGGGCTGCTTCAGCAGGTGTGCAGTGATCCAAAATGAATCCAGACAGGGTAAATCAACTCGAGATGCCCTTGTTTGAAAGTGCTTGTTCAAGAGATTTATGCAAGGAGTGCCAGTCTCCAGGAATCTTGTTACAACCCACTACTCTTAGTTAGTGAACAAAATTCCTTTCCTGGATATTTTTTTATTCTCCACCTTGCATTCCAGGGTCAAGCTAATTTTTCAGTGTTCCTTTTATGTGTGCAGTGTAATCTCACCGAGCAGTATTTTTCACTGAGGAAATCTGCAAATAAGAATTAATTCAATTTATTTCTTTCCATATTCAATTTAAAATGTATTGTAATGACATTTCCTGCTCAGTATTTTAATATGGTAATGATTAAAAACAGATCACTGCTAGGAAGCTACAGCAAACCATTTGAGAACTTTTATTTTCCTATAAACAATGCTGCTTACAGCTTCCTCATTTAGAGGTATGTTCTTATTGAAGCCTCCACAGAAGGGATTTCCTAAATTGGTGTGTAGTCACAAAAATACTATGCATCAATCTGGTGAATTTTTTCTTCTTTGTTAGGGCAAATAAATTCTGAAAGAAGGGTTTGTAGCTCTATTTAAACAGAGGATCACACCAGAGACCATGCAGCTCCTATTGCACATCAGGCTTTCTAATGATTCTTAGCTTTACCCTCAATTTTGGTGAGCACAGAGCTCCCACCAGCTTGGGTGAGACATTAACTTTGCTGTTAGTGAAGGAAGTTTTTTTTTCTGATAAGTGTAATCAGTGCTGCTCTAGTCAGAGCAGAGCATGAGACTGTGTCACCTGGCACTGAAGTGCAGCTAACAGTGCAGAGCTGAGCAGCCACTGCTCAGAAACAGCTGTTTGCATCTGGCCGAGGCACTGGTTATGGCTCTGGCAAAAAAGGATGCCTCTAGCTCAGATTGCCAAGTGTCTACTGATATGAGATCCTTTTCTTAAATGCTGGTACCTTTGCCAGATTTAAAACATTTGGATTGACTTTTGAGTGTCAGCCTCAAGCTGAATCATTTGGGCGGCTTCAGCTGAAATGGTTGAGCGATATCAGAGAAGGTCAGTGAAGAAAACAGTGTTATTTTAGCAGTTCTAGAAAATTTTGCAGTCATTTAGAGGATCAAATGAATCATCTTCACACTGAATTTTCTTATTCTTTAACTTTCTTAATTTCCTTTTTTTCTAGTGGAATTCCACAATTATGCAGAAACTTTTTAAACCTTCTTCTGTACTGAAACTCAAGAGACACTTCCAAGAAAACTGAAGGAAAATGGGCTTTGGGTTTTTTAATATGATTTTTAAATTACTAGTTTGGGGTTAATTATCCATCTGTAGAAACTGGTTAGTGATTCCCTTCTCTAAATCTGGTTTGCAAAATATGGGTACAGAATTAATGAGTGAAGAATACCACATGGGGTATAAATATTAATTGTAAAATAAATCAAACAGCTTCCAAAAACATCAGAGGAGAACAAACATTGAAAACATACCTGTATGAAACTCTGAGAAATGAAACATTTAAAACCAGGAAATCTTTATGATATGATGCTTTTAAGTGAATTAAGATACTACACAGTATTTTGAGGGGGGAAAAAAAAGAAAAAAAAAAAAGAAAAAACCAAAAAACCCACAAAAAGAAAAAGAAAACAAAAAAAAACCAAAACCAAACAAACAAAAAACCCCAACCAAACAAAAAACAAAAACATAAACAAAACAAAACAAAAAAAAACCCCAAAAAACCAAAAAAAACCCAAACCCAAGAAACCCCAAACCGAACTGAAAAAAACCCCCCTTGGCCATAAGTACTTTGGGAACATGATCTGCCTATGATTAAATTCCTTGCCATCTGGAGTCTGTATTTTAATTTTTTATGCCCTCTGGAAATCTTCCAGAAGAGTTGTTATAAAGAACTGGGTGTTGGAGTGGCAAGCAGAGAAAGAGAGGAAGGGCTGGGAGAATTTGATTGCAGTGCCAGAAAGTTAAGCAGCTGTATGGATAGTGTCATTGGCAATTCCCAGCTTTGTATTTAAGAGTAAAAGGGAAAACAGGTTTATTCAATTTGCAAATAATAAACATGTTCCTGTTATCTAGAATGTCTTGTTTCAGCATCATCCCAGCTGAACAGAAAAGCTGGTCTTGCAAGAAATCAAATATATTGCAATATCAAAACTTCATTCTCTTTGTGGGACCACCAGATTCTCTAGCGGAGGTTAAATTTGAAAGAATGTAAAACAGAAAATTTCAATTTTTGTAGGTAGATTTGAAATTAAAATGAAACAAACATGAGTAATAGACTTCAAAGGGGAGATTCATTAAACAGAAGAGAGTAAAAACACAGAAAAAACCTGAAGGTATTTCTGAATTTTGGAATGTAAAACCACCTCATTGTGAGGGTAAATGAAAAGATACAAAGCTAAGCAACCATAAAGATACTGACAGGGTTATGAAAATTATGGAAACTGTGGAATAAAGGTAGGAGAAGGAAGGAATTAAGAAATTTTATGACAAAGCCAGAAGTGCAAGGGAACCCAACCCCCTTACTTGGGCACCAGGAGATTTCTGGAGAATAAAAAAGGGTTAGCCAGATGAAAATCCAAACCAAAAAATATGCCGCAGAGGAAAAAAATACTCTGGAAAGACAGGTAAGAATACAGAACAGAGCTTTAAAATTTTTCTTCTTATAAGCCTGGGGATAGACACTCATAGAGAGGGGCTGATAATTCTAACTTAGAACCTAGAAAGTAAAGGGTATAAGAGAAGAGGGTGGTATTAGAGATGAAGTGCCATAGCCTTGTAATAGTTCAAAACAAAATAGTTGAAACTTTGTTACCAGCTATGTGCAGGACAGTTTGAAGGAAAGCTTCACAGATCTACATTCTTCCATAACAATTCCTAATGCTATGAACAGTGATTGACGCTGAGCTATCTATCTGATAAACTAGGCACTTAAAATCTTTTAAATTCTTGAAGGAACATAGAGCAACAGTCTGAGAAAAAGGGATAGCAGTCAGCCTGTTATCAATTATGTTCTGGAGACAGGAGGAAGTAAGCAATCCTAAGCCTCAGACGTTACACATTGGTACAAATGGATTTCTCTCTGTGTTTCTCTGCTGACTTTGAGAAGGCTTTAGATGAATTCCAACATGACAGACTGACATGTATCCTCGGGGATGATAATGTTGATGCAGCACATCTCCAACAGACAGAAG